TGAGGAAACTCTGTCTCTTCTAAAAAATACAAAAATTAGCTGGGAATAGTGGCAGGAGCCTGTCATCTCAGCTACTTGGGAGGCTGAGGCAAGAGAATTTCTGGAACCTGGGAGGTGGAGGTTGCAGTGAGCTGAGATCATGCCATTGCACTCCAGCCCCAGCCCACAACAGTAAAACTCCGTCTCAAAAAACAAAACAAAACAAAACAAAAAACAAACAAAAAAAAAACCAATCAAATAAATTAATTAAAATAGTATTACAGGCCGGGCCCGGTGGCTCACGCCTGTAACCCAGCACTTTGGGAGGCCGAGGCGGGAGGATCACGAGGTCAAGAGATCGAGACTATCCTGGTCAATGCAGTGAAACCCCGTCTCTACTAAAAATACAAAAAATTAGCTGGGCATGGTGGCGCATGCCTGTAATCCCAGCTACTCAGGAGGCTGAGGCAGGAGAATTGCCTGAACCCAGGAGGCGGAGGTTGCGGTGAGCCGAGATCGCGCCATTGCACTCCCGCCTGGGAAAAAAAAGCGAAAACCCCGTTCAAAAAAAAAAAAAAAAATAGTATGATAATTTTCTCAAGAGACCAGTCCGACCAACATGGTAAAACCCCGTCTCTAGTAAATACAAAAAGAATTAGCTGGGAGTGGTAGTGTGAGCCTGTAATCCTACTTGGGAGGCTGAGGCAGGAGAATCGCTTGAATCCATGAGGCGGAGGCTGCAGTGAGCCGAGATTGCACCATTGCACTCCAGCCTGGGTAACAAGAGCGAAAACTCCATCTCAAAAAACAAAACAAAACAAAACAAATGAAATAAAATAAAAGAGGCTAAGGCCCTATCTTCTCAGTACAAGTTTATATTAACAACCCTGGATGATCTCCAAATTTTGGAGAAGTAAATGAAAGCCAGAAAAGTGCAAGTAATTTTCTCAAAGTCACATGTAAAGTAATACAGTCAGAATCTGAAATCAGACTTGACTTCAGTGCACTTACTCCTGTCTACATTACACTACCCTCCAACTAAACAAGAGGTGGGAAGGATGAGTAGCATAGAATGGCCATTCCTAAGCCCTGGGGAACTGCAGCTAAATGTGGTTCCCAGGATCAAGCCTGCCTTACTTCATGGGTTCACTTACTGTTCCTTTCATTCTGTGTACCAGTTCATACATTCGGATGCAGCCTTCCACTTTGATCCCCCGTGGGGATTGATGTACCATAGATTCTGTGTGCTGGGACTCATCTTTGTCCTGTATGAATAAAAAATGGAAAAAGAATTAAGTTTTTAATATGGTAAAGTTGGTGTTATCTCTTCTAGTTAAAGACCACATCCCAACTTATGAACAACCATCAATAACAATAGCAAAAAAAAAATTTAGGTCAACCAGTGGGCTTTTCATGAATGACAATAACTTTGTTCTAATTGTTTTCTTTTTTTTTTTTGAGACGGAGTTTCACTCTTGTGAAACTCCTAATTGTTTTCTTTAATAAATTGATGTTTGTAACTTTGGGTGTTTTTTTTTTTTAGATTTTTCTATGTTTTTCTGGCTTGCTTGCTTGTTTTACTCTGCCCAGAAAATGTTCCCTCTTATTTTTTTTTTTTTTTGAGACGGAGTTTCACTCATGTTACCCAGGCTGGAGTGCAATGGCACGATCTCGGCTCACCGCAACCTCCGCCTCCTGGGTTCAGGCAATTCTCCTGCCTCAACATCCTGAGTAGCTGGGATTATAGGCACGCACCACCATGCCCAGCTAATTTTTTTTTGGATTTTTAGTAGAGACGGGGTTTCACCATGTTGACCAGGATGGTCTCGATCTCTTGACCTTGTGATCCACCCGCCTCGGCCTCCCAAAGTGCTGGGATTACAGGCTTGAGCCACCGCGCCCGGCCTTACACTCTATCTTTAAAAAAAAAAAGAGCCAAGGTGGGTGGATCACAAGGTCAGGAGTTCAAGACCAGCCTGGCCGACTTGGTCAAACCCCATTTCTACTAAAAATACAAAAATTAGCCAGTGTGGTAGTACGTGCCTGTAATCCCAGTAATTCAGGAGGCTAAGGCAAGAGAATTGCTTGAACCCAGGAGGCGGTGGTTGCAGTGAGCTGAAATTGCGCCATTGCACTCTAGCCTTGGCAACAGAATGAGACCCCATCTCAAAAGAAAAAAGAGAAATAAAAAAAATAGCCAAGTATGGTGGTGGTCACCTGGAGTCCCAGCTATTCAGGAGGCTGAGACAGGAGGATGGATTGAGCCTGAGAGGTGGAGGCTGCATTGAGCCATGTTTGTGCTACTGTACTCCATCCTGGGTGACACAGCGAGACCCCAGCTCAAACAAACAAACAAACAAAAAAAGCAGGGGGTGAAAACATGATCACTTATATTTGTATATACACAAACTACCTCTAGAAGCATATAAAAAAGAATTTTTTAAAACCTCCAAAACTTAACTTGTTTTTGAGACAGGGACTCATACTGTTGCCTAGGCTAGAGTACAATGGTGTGATCACACCTCACCATAGTCTCGAACTCCTGGGCCCAAAAGATCTCATCTCAATGTCCCAAGTAGCTAGAACTACAGGCTTGAGCCACCATGCCTAGCTAATTTTTTCATTTTTTGCAGAGACAAGGTCTCACTATGTTGCGCAAGCTGGTCTCAAACTCCTGGGATCAAGCAATCCTCCTGTCTTGGCCTCCCAAAGCACTGAAAATATGAACATGAGCCAGTATATTGGGTCCAATTTAACTTTTTTTTTGGTTTTTGAGTTTAGGAGTGGAGGTTTAATAGGCAAGAGAAAGGAAAACAGCTCTCTCTCTAGTGGGAGAGGGGACTACTGAGAGGAAAAGGCCCTAATTTAATATTTTTAAGTGAGAGAAACAAACAACAAAAACCAAACAAAGGCAAGGACAAAACAGATCCAGGAATAGGGTAAAAACTCCCACAGAACCAGTGACAGAAGATACGTAAACTTTAAGACCAGGTATACATTTCACTCTAGGCCTTCTTCCAGCAGATAACACAACAAGGGAGACCGTATCAGTTAAACAGATGCAGTGTTCATTAGAAAAAAAAAATTATCCAATTGCTCATGAAATTAATTATACTATTCTGGGTACTAAGAATAAAGGGGATTTTCTCCCTCTGGGTCTTTCTCAAGAGAACACTGAATGATGCTGTCAACATTGTCTCTACAAGCTGCTGCAACAGTGAGCAACCATTATTTTCCCTAGGGTATGGTCATTATCATATGAAAATATTAAACATTTTGACTTTGCAGCCACCATGTCTTTTGTCTTAGGCTGATCACAACCTTACCTTGGTTCCATTTGGTGTTGCAGGGGACGCTGGGGAAAAGGCAGAGCTTGTGTCAGGAGATTTGGGAATTTGGTCTAGGGCTGAAGCTGACATAGAGGATGGCGAAGTCTCAGAGACAGGTTGGTTCTCCTGCATATGGGGTACGACGTGATCTATCACCCATCCAGAATAAGAAGATAGCTTGGGAAGAGACATACATTCTTCCAAAACATCCTAGAGATAAGAAGAGGGTTAAGCTCAATTTGCATGTCAACTGATCTCAGTATAATCTAAGAAGGCCTAAATAAATAAACACCAAGGACCCAAAGTAATGCATTAACAATCAGATGAAAAGAAAGTACAGAGGTTTCTTGATAATGATATTGACTACTAACCTTTTTTTTTTTTTTCCTAAGATGGAGTCTCACTGTTACCCAGGCTGGAGTAACCTCCGCCTCCTGAGTTCAAGCGATTCTCCTGCCTCAGCCTCCAGAGTAGCTGGGATTATAGGCATGCACCACTACGCTTGGCTAATTTTTGCATTTTTAGTAGAGACGGGACTGGGGAGGGGTTTCACCATGTTAGTCAGGCTGGATTTGAACTCCTGACTTTGTGATCTCAGCCTCCCAAAGTACTGGGGTTACAGACATGAGCCACCATGCCCAGCCATGATTACTATCCTTCCAATGAAAATCAGACTAAAGAATTCTAAATACAGTGGCACATATACACCATGATATATTATGCAGCCATCAAAAACGATGAGTTCGTGTCCTCTGTAGGGACATGGATGAACCTGGAAACCATCATTCTCAGCAAACTGACACAAGAACAGAAAATCAAACACCGCATGTTCTCACTCATAGGCAGGTGTTGAACAATGAGAACACATGGACACAGGGAGGGAAGCATCACACACTCGGGTCTGTTGGGGGGAAATAGGGGAGGGACAGCGGGGGTTGGGGAGTTGGGGAGAGAGAGCATGGGGAGAAATGCCAGATATAGGTGAAGGGAAGGAAGGCAGCAAATCACACTGCCATGTGTGTGCCTATGCAACAATCTTGAATGTTCTTGACATATACCCCAAAACCTAAAATGCAATAAAAAATAAATAATAATTAAAAAAAAAAAAAAAAAGGTCCATGAATAAAGAACTGGCAAGAAAAGAATTGAAGGTTTTTTCCCTCTTGGTATATGTTACTTTAACAGAATCATTGGCCATAATAAAAAGCTCATTTATTAAGTTAAAAAAGTAATAATAATCCTAAATACAGAAAAAGAAACAATGCATAAAGTTTTCCATTAAAGCATATGTGAAAGCAATCTAAAGCACTGGAACAGAACAGAAGAGGAATTTTGAAGTAAACTACTATATACACAATCAGTAGAATATCAGTCACTTAAAGATGGGGGTAAGTTCTGAGAAACATGGTGTTAGGCCACCTTGTCATCCATTGCTCGAACATCGTAGATTGTACTTACACAAACCTAGATGTATATATTTTTCAATTTTTTAAATTAATTATTTTTTGAGACTGGGTCTCTCTCTGTTGCCCAGGCTGGAGTGCAGTGGCCTAGTCATGGCTCACTGTAGCCTGACCTCCTGGGCTCAAGCTATCCTCCCACCTCAGCCAGCACCCCCAGCAGCTGGAAGTACAGGCATGCACCACTATACTCAGCTCATTTTTTTTCACTTTTTATAGAGATGGGGAGTCTCGATATGTTGCTCAGGCTGGTCTCTCTCTTTTTTTTTTTTTCTTTTTAGACGGAGTTTCACTCTTGTTACCCAGGCTGGAGTGCAATGGCGTGATCTCGGCTCACCACAGCCTCCGCCTCCTGGGTTCAGGCAATTCTCCTGCCTCAGCCTCCCGAGTAGCCGGGATTACAGGCGTGAGCCACAGCGCCCGGCCAATCTCTCTTTTTTTTTAAGAGACAGGGTCTCATTCTGTTGCCCAAGCTGAAGTGCAGTGGCGCAATCACATCTCACTGCAGCCTCAACTTTCCATACTCAGGTAATACTCCCACCTCAGCCTCTCAAGGAGCTGATATTATAGGCACACACCACCACAACACCACATCCGGTTAATGTTTTGTTTTTTTTTTG